ATTTCCTTTTGACGACAGCATTGTATTTATTTTTGGTTAAGATTTTGTTGGCATTTTGATTATTATCCTTGGTCGAAATTGCAGACGTGTTCCTCAGTGGAGGGAAATTGCCGTCATAAGTGTTGTCATCAAGATATTCGAAATAATTTTCGGAAAAATTCTCTTTGACCTCTTTATACGAAAGATTTTTAATCACCATTATCCTGTTGATGTTTAATTCAATTTCCCTATTAGGGCAACACTTATTGAGAGCGTTGTGCTCACCTGAGCCACAGGAAAAGCACTTCATCGCCTGACAATTTGCACACTTCGGAGACTTTCCACAGTTAAGGCACCTGCTCTCTTTAGCTTTGCAGAATTTAGATACGTGACCGTATCTGCCACACTTAAAGCACTCTTTTAAAGTGGGTACAAAGTATTCGACCGGCAGATTACAATAGTGAAATTTTATTGATTTAGGGAGCGCTCTCCCTTTGAAGCCAATTTTGATGCTGGTTGTGGGAATCCACTCGTCTTTGTTTTTGGGATTTCTTCTTTGGAAACGGACAGCGGACTTAATCGGGATATCGGATACGGCGTTTTTAATTATATCATCGACACTATATGTGCATGGGATGTTTCGAATAACTCCAAATCTCTCAGTGAACGACCTCAGTATGTACGCTTTTAAATTCTTTTTATTAAATTCATTATTCATAACAAAATTGTTGGCATTGGCAGCGGAGCTGAAAAGCAGTTTGGCTCTACCCCTGCTGACAACTTTTAATTCTTTTAAGCCGTACATATCGAAATGCTTCAAGTAATCATAGAAATAGAGATTGGAGTTAATATTGATGCGATTTCCTTCTGCGTCCGCACACGTTTCGACAAAAACGACAAAATTGCAGTTGGAAAGGCAATCGTACAAATTAATCTCGAGATTTGGGGCGGCTGTGGCACCCAAATCAGAGGGCTTGTTTACTAGGCGGAATTAAAACGTTTGCGTTAGGTTCTCCGTTATCAGATAAAAGAATATTATTCTCACCCATTTTCGATCTCTTAGTGTGCCCAGTGGCGTTCATGTAAAAATTTTCAAAACAGTCTGTATTAGTAGTTATAAGATCACACCCAGTCTCCATAGGGAGACGGGCTGATGTTGTTTTGGTTGTTGTCACAGGGAACACAAAAAGAAAAAATCACAAAGAAAAAACAAAAAATAATAATTGAATATATGTATTGCTTCTTAATTTTTCTCTCACGAGAGATTCCTCCTCCTTCCCTCCTTTTCCTTCTTAAAATTGTTTTCTTTGGTTATTTTATTACTTTATTAAACCTCTTTTCCTTTTTTTAAATCTTTTTTTTTCCTTTTTTTTCCTTTTTTTTCCTTTTTTTTTCACTAACCCCGGTAAACACAAAAATTATCCAGCTGCCGTTTGCGGAGATGATGTGCTGTGTCAAGTGTGAATGAAATGCGAATGGTCAACGTGATTCTAGACCAACTCGTTTCAGGTCTAGATCCCGATCAGCATCTGCAAGCTGATGTTAAAAAGCGTCGCGAAGCGTCAGGACGGTATTGCTTGAGTAACGAACACAGGACTAAAAATGTTGGTCAAATTCACGGTGCAAGAAAGGTGAAAGGATGTACAATACATTACTACACGTGGAGCCGTCAATAAACGAATCGCATAAAACAATTACAACACAAGTTGCGTCAGACAATACTTACAGTTCATTAACGCAAAGGCAATAATTTTGCGTACAGCGCAAATATTAGTAAGGAATTCCACGGGAGTGTTCATACCAATCAAAGATCCATTTGATTAAGGAACGCAAAGATCATTCACAAGCGAAAAGGCGAAAAGTGTGATTAAACACACGAAAGCATTTAACCTTCAACGGGATATCAGAAAGCCAGAACATCACTAAAAACGTAATCACAGCAATCAATAGAGAAAAATTGTGTTAAAAAACCCTAAATGTAAAATTATTTCTTTTTTTTTACCTTACATTGAAAACGAAACGCCTCACTCACAGCTGCATCATTCAGTATAATCAGTTCGAAAAGAAGATTTGGCTGACCCACAATATTACATTCCTAGCAAAATTGAGATGACACTAAGCGCTGACTTGTGTGAAACTTTACTTGCAGGACGCATAAACTGCTTCGCATTAGTTTTGGTCCAGAAAACAGAAATGGCTTGAATATTGTCACGCGCCATACATAAGAAACCTTAGTCAGTACGGATCAATCAGATAGCGATTCCACGGAAGATAATTAAAACAAAATCGTATCATTATTAAAAAAGCATTCCTTCCCACCAGTCTTCGATGATGAAAGGATACTCAAGGTGGATGGAAGGCTACAAAACCCCACATTATCTGACAATCAAAATCATCCGATAATTTGAAGTCCAGACTGCAAAGTGTCTGAGCATATAATCAGGTGCCCTCATTTGTGACCAATATGCTGCAGCAACCAAGTCCCACAAACAAGCGTGAGAGGGCAGTATTGGATACTACAGCTACCAAAATTGATAATGTCATGCATCTGCAAATGCATAAAACGCTCCAGGAATAACACCAAAACAAAAGAACAACTGATGGGGGCGTTGCGTCAACCTACAGTTAGCCTCGGAAAGTCATTCAAAAAAAGGGATTTAGACTTCGCTGGCCCAATCCTACTCAACAGCTAGTAAATGCATTTTGGCAGTGTTGAAACATCGAGTATTTGTGTCTGGTCCAACAACGATGGAAAAAGACGAAACCTAAGCCGAATATGAAAGTAGGGCAATTAATTTTAGAAACAAATGAAAACTATGCCCCTATGACCATTAGCCAGAATTATAGAGGTTCATCCCGGAAGCGATAGATTAGTCCGAGTAGCTACAATCAAGGTAAGAGAGAAAATCACAAAACAACCACATATGTCCCAGTTGAGGGCCCAAAAACAGTTTGTGTGTGTGTGCAAGCAAGAAAACGAAGTTAAGAAACCTTCCACCTTAAAAAGAAAAAATCCCAAAAGGAGACAATTATTAAAAGGAAAAAGGCCGGGCGCAAAAGGGTGAAGTCTGCTAAACCACGAATCACTAAATCAACTGCATCAATCAATTTAAGGTGTTCACTTCTTGCCATCACTCTATTTATACCATTAGCCGACGGCGTTATTAATATATTCTCGGTACAGAGTGGACTATATAGAAAAAACAGGAACAGCTCACATCAATCGTAGCATGTTAAGAATAAAACTGAGAACCCTATAGAAACAAGTAAGCTCTAACGCTAATATTATCAACATGCTGTTTAGAATGCAACAATCGTGTTTATTAACTGGAAGAAGCCTCGGTAGCAGAGCACAAAATATGGACATTAAATTCGTGCGCTCAAGATAAAAACGCGAGATTTCACGTATCATATGGACCAATATATTTAGCGTAAATGGCGAAATATACCGAGATATTAATATACTAGATAACAATTAACGGCATCAGATTAAATCAAAACCATAGAAAAATACTCTGGCCGCTGCCAACTAAAAAATTGGTCTACAAATCTCAAAATTCAACGGTCAAGTTGCTAAGACTTCGTCTACACAATGCAATTGATCGCAACAGCTTCAATGTCCGTTTCATGAGCTCATGTCTGCTCGCGCAAAATATAATTAGCGTGATCATTAGGTAATACTCAGCATTATTAAATAGCGTATAAAGCAAAAAGGTTATCTTAGACTGCGTTTTAACGAACTTATAAGTCCAATCAATCGCACGGATAGCGTATTGCCAATCACCTTAAAGGTATCGAGTATACCCGTCAATCGCCTCGACATTATGCACGCTTCTGAACAATTAGTTGTATCGGGGTGCTTTCAAATTGTCGAAGCAGCCAGATTTAAAATAATACATGCAACGGCCGTTCCGAAAAAGTTAAAAAACAGCACATGTATGATATTTCAGATAAAACCAAATTTCCTAACGGTGAACTTCGACCTACAGTTACTCTACGAATTAGGCGAACATAGAAATTCTAATATCAACTGAAGAATCTTTTGCAAATTCTCATACATATCATTCGGCGAGCAAGCGCACCCACAAGAGAACGCAAATATTGCTCTAGCAGCAATAAAGTTAAAGCGTAAATCTCTTTAATACATTATACTATCTCGCGCATATTTTAGACGTTCGTAGCCTCGCGCATACATGTTGCACAAATATCAGGACACTGATTATGTATGAAAAATTTAACTTTCCTTTTCGCTTTTCGGCTTATTGCAGATTGTGTATGACATAGTCATCCACATTGGTCGACAACTTACGGTTTTTTTTAATTATGTATCCAAAACAGAAGGAAATAGACTCTGCTATATCTGTAAGAAATCTTTTATAGATTTATGCTTGCAAGAAATAACCGCTGTAAAATGAAAATAAAAACAGAACATAATTTTCGTTTACTTGCTATATGTTTTAAAATTAAACAATACAGTTGCTCAAACGCATGGTAAAGTGAAGTGAAAGCAGTTGATTATTCTGTAATGATCATAATGCTCAAGATAAATCTTATAGAGGATGCTTTTAATACGGAGTGTTAACGTTTATTTTTCTAGAAAGTTCAACCAAGGTAGCCTGAAGAATAGAATACCTCGTGGCAATATTATTACCCATTAAAATCGTTCGTTCACAATTCGGCAGCGGAGGACAATAATGCACTTTTAGATTAGACCGCTGGTGGAAAAAGTAAAAGACAACATACAAGAAAGCGTAACAAAGAGCTTACTTACATTCATTGGAAACAGCTCACCATATAAGTGATCAAAACATCGATGCCCACAGCTATGTAAACATTTAGTACGTGAGGGAATCAGGCGCATTTGAAACGTTTGTAACAAAGCAAGTGGAAGGCAATATTTTTCCGGATATAGGACATATGTAAACCTGAATTTTGCGATCTGTAAAGACCGAAGAAAAAAAGCAACGAAAAAAATTTTCAGAAAGGGCACATAAGTTTTTACAACATATTAAAAAAAATTTATCCTACTTAGTAAAGAGAAACAAAATAACAAAAATCTCCCTTAGAAAATGTGTTAAAATTTCATGAATCAGTAAAAAAATTATTTCCAAACGAAGTAAATAACTAAGCTACACATGAAAACATTTAAAAAAACTTAAAATTCCTATTTTATACATGAAGATATTTTGAGCATGTATATATTTAAATACTACTCGTTGTAGACTAAAAATACGCATATTCTCAAAGTAAACTGAGCGCTGGTTATGTACAGTGTTAACTAAGTTCCGTCTTCGAGTTTCGACTTATTAGCTATATGTATGCACAAGAAGTGTGAGAAATGCTTTCTCAAAATTGACAAAGCAGGCGTATTAATAAAATAAATTCCAAACGAAATTGACCACTTACAAACAGATGAACCAAAAAAAAAATTTTAGATTTGTGAAAGGTAAGTGAATTAATTCTTTTTTTTTACTGTTACTCCAATCGTCTAATTCGCTTAATTCGACGAAGCTTGTAATGAATTGTGTATCATCAATCTCTCTGTGCGAAGTCGTTTACTGTAGTTATCGTTGATAAAGTGCAAAGGAGCAATAAACAATAAGAACTCATCGCTCCACCGTATATATTGGTCTTACCGACAGCAAGCCTAATCCGTTTTAGTAAACAAAACACAGAAAACGATAAATAAAACGTTATTATTAAATCAGCAAATAATGTTGCGAAATATATACAAAGGCGGAATGGTTCCTTTCCATACATAATGTATTATTTGGCAGTAAATGGCCATCAAGGAAAAGAAAAATCAAAATCGGCTGCACTTTATTACTCATTGGAATTTCAGGCAACTTCAAGTCGCGCAATATAAGTATAAATAAGTATTCGCGCCGGTTCGAAAAACAATTCAGCTCGTTATCTGCAACTTTTAATTAGCTTTTTCTTTTTTTTCTGTTAAAAGTGCATAATATATTAGTGCACTTTATTTCGTGAGAAATTTTGCATAATTTTGCTTTTATTTACATTTGCATTATTTTGTTATTCATTGTATCATTGTAAACAAACAAACGTCAAATTTGCTCCTAATTTTCCCACTAATTTTTCAAAGTAAATTTCAAATGGCGAAAGCTCACAACTCACAACTAAGTAACTTACAAAGTCGTCTTCCAAATGAAAGCTATTTAACTAAAACACACACATAATTAGTAATCACTTTCGTCACATGAAGATGATAGAATTGAATTATTTTTGTAACCATTTAGCCTATAAGTTTTTACGGTCAAAAAAAACAAAACAAAATTCCATTGAAAGAAACCGCGCTATAATAAGTTTGACTACATATCCGAATATTTTGAAAAATAATTCATTTGATGCAGGCGTTGCTTATGGTTATGGCTCTCATTTGGACAGCGTACCTTGAAAGCCATTTGGTTGCTTATTCGAAACTTATTTCGAAAAAATAGTGGCACAATAAATTAAATTTTTGATAAAATGACATGAAGTGAAGATATCTTTATAATTCATATAATTTCATATTTTGAATTTTAATGTCTCTTTTTATTTTATGCAATATACTTATACGTGTGAATCTACCTATAAAGAATGGATAATGTTTTAAAATGCATTACAAATTAATTGCAGGTTTTTTTATATAAACAAAACCCACTTCTTGATTTTCACTTACCATCTTACAGCCGTTTATTTGCCTCAAATGACAGACCTCTAGCCAACGCCTACATCGTCCGCAAAGTAAGTTGCCTTAATCCAGGAACTCAAAACTTTTTTATCATAATTTTCATGTGGTTGCAAACCTTACTAAAAAACTTTATGTGTTTATACGCAAAAATATAAGTATGTATATTAACTTACCATTCTATTCAGGCAATGCTTGTCTTTTTTTTTTTTTTTTTTTTGGTATGTTGAACAGAGATGGACTAAGCCAATAGATTTGTGGCTTATATGTCCAAATAATAAACTGTTGTAATTTTTAGTCACGATTACGTATAAAACGTAACAAAAAAAAAGAGAGGTCGTAATAACTGAAGTGAGCATGTTAAATGTAATTGTGTGTGTGGGTGTGTGTGTAAGTGTGCTTGTTGAATTCTTGAAAGTCAGACAGTGTTGCAAACTTTGGCTGAAAACGAAATGGAATGTCATAGTAATTGAAAATGATTGAACGCAAAAAAAGAAAAAACAAAAAAAAAAAGGAAAGAGGAGGAAAAAGAAAAATTCTAAAAGGATAAATTGGCTTTTCTAATAAAGCAAGTTAGTTCCCCGAGATGACGTACATTTTTTGCTGCAAAGAGATCGAGGAGACAGCCATATAACTTGAAGAAGCTAAAGGAATCTCTAATGCCATCAAGCCTGTGACATCTGAAGATTAGATGCTCAGCAGACTCAACAACATTGCAAACTTCACAAACATCACATGGTATAGCGCGAATCGTTTTTAAATAAACTTTGTCATAAGTGTGACCACTCATGATTCTATAAAGAATTTTGATTTCCCAGGAATTAAAAGAAGATACAGAGAAGGGTTTGAATTGAAATGTGGGATTTAATTTATAGAAAAGACGATTGGATTTAACGCGCGCGATTACTTTAAATTCGTCGTTTAGCTGTTGAAGGATGTGGTTGCGAATTGCCCGAATTGCTTCATTTAGTATGTATAGTATATTTGATGGACAAAATTCTCCCATCAACAGGAGCTCTCCCTGCATGAAAGTCGGCTTTTACATTTAAAAAAAAGCCGCAGTGGCTAGGTACCCAAACGAGGTGACAGTCATCCACTTGAGATTCGTGCAACGTTTTGTGAATGTCAAACACATATTGATTTTCTGCATCTCTTTTATTTATTAGAAGTAGAGCAGACCTGCTGTCGGAAAAAATAACAAAACGTCTGATACCATCGGAAATAGCAACCATGATAGCATGTCGAATGGCGAGCAACAAGCAGCAAGTAGAGGAAAGTTCCTCTTCCACTTTGACTCGAAGTATTGTTTCAGATAGATGTTTCACCACCGAGAAGCCAGATACATTATGTCCGACGGAACCGTCAGTGGCATATATATCATGTCCGTTGTTGTAATAAAAAAGGAGCTTTTCTTGGCATAGCAACCTTATACAAGAGAAGTTGACATTTTGTTTTGAGGTGAAGATCGGTTCGAGAATGTTCATGAAGACTTTGCATTTGCTGGTAATGAAATTCAAGGGGGGAATTGAATCTAACTTGTCAAAAATATGGCGAAGTTTTTAATAGCAAAAAGTATAGCTGCAAGTGACAGTGTCACTGAGAGATATAATTTCCTGAAAAAAGGAAGGATTTATCATCTTGACTTTAATTAACTTCTTGTCAGTGCAAAAAAGGGCTCTTTCGGAAACTGGCCATTCACCAGATATAACATTGAGAATATGTTGAGGAGTTGAGGGGGTCAGTCCAGTACAACGGTTTAACATTCGGTTTTCAAATGCTTGTATACGTTTTTCAATATATTTTGGGAAATTGCAACATGTGGAATGTCCAAATTCAATTTTGGACCTGACTAGAGATTTGTAAACGGTCAAAGCATTTTTGGGAGGCAAGCCTGCCTGATTGTTTGTCATGAGTTTGATGATGTTGCATCCAGACTGACAATCTTTGAACGTCTTTTCATAATGCCCACGAAGGGTTAAGCTGTCATTTAAATTTCTCCCAAGAAATCGAAGAGATTTCACCTGATTAACTTGGGTACCTTTGATAAGAAGTCTGATTTCACGTTTAGAACCTTTGGCAAAATAAATAGTTTTGTCATCTTGAAGATCATGCAAAGAAGCTGCGTATAAATTGAAGAGTATGGGGCTTAAACAACTGCCTTGTGGGATACCACCGCATATTTCAACTTTTTCGGTACCCATCACCAACACACGCTTGGATAAAAAATTAAGTATCCACAGCCGCATTTGAAGAGGAATCGAAAAGTTTAGGAGAATTCTACCGAGCTTAATCAAGTTGACACAGTCATAGGCTTTGCTGAGAGCACGACAACCATTTTCCCTGCTTTTTTTAAGCTGGCTATGAGAAAACACAGTTCATTAACGCACATATTCGTAGATTTGCGTTTTTGATAGGCGTAAGACCGAGCTGGAATAATGTTCTTAGTTTTCAGGAAAGCAGTTAGTCTCTCCTTAACCATGAGGTTGATGATCTTTATGAATACAGATATTAGTGAAATTGGTCTGAAGCTACTTAAATCATTTAAGTCTTTCCCTGGCTTGGGAATGGGAACTATTTTGATGCAACGCAAATCAGAGGGTATAAAGTTGGTGGACTAGCAGTTGTTAATTGCATGCAAAAGCATGCTAAAGCTTCCTCCAGGCAGTGCTCTGAGCATGTCATACTTGACTCCATCACAACCTGCAGCACTAGCTCTCTTTCTGGAATATAAAACATACATTAGCTCATGCAATGAAAAGGGTGTGTTACTGATACTACTAAAAGGAATTGAAGGCATTGTAATAGGATTAACAATTGGAATGCAGCTCTTGAGCATATCTAAGTATTTTTTATTATCACGGTCATTCCATCCAGCACAACCGCTTAATTTTCGACTAGAATGTCGATGACCATTGATATAATTCCAGAAGGAACGTGGGTTGCCGTTACCACATAACTCTTTAATAGCGATGGCTCTATGTGCCGTTTTCGCCTTTCTAACTGCAGACCTCCATTCTTTCAGTATTTTCATATATTCAATGTAGTTGGCTGGATTGGTATATTTACTCATTTTTTTTCTTGCAGCTTGGTATTTGCGGAAAAGTGTTGACAGGGAAGGATTCCACCAAGGTTTAGATGACAAGGACTCAATGTCAGGGAAGTTGGTTCTAGCAGACATGATCACAGACTGAAAGGCACTTTGAATTGATGACAAATCAGAAGGAAGATCAACTTTAGACAGACGGTCCATAAGGAAGTTGCGTGAAATGAAATTTTCTATTTTCTTGACGGAATTGTTACAACTGTGGAATATAATGGGGGAGTGCTGACTTTTACCAATGGAAACATTGGACGTGTTCCAGTTGAAAGATAAAATAGTTGAGTTCGAGAAAGTTAGATCCAAGACACTGCTCGCCGTGCGACCGCTCCGGTTACAGTGAAAGGTAGTATTGCCGTTATTTAAGACACTGAAACTGCTGGAATTGATGGCATTTACAAGGATTTTGCCTTTGTTGGTAGAGACTTGATCGCCATACAGGCGGTGTCTTGCATTGAAATCTCCAGCTAGAATCACATTTTATTCACCGTCAAGAAAGTCGCATAATCTCTGAATCATATCACGAAAGGTTTGCACATCGAGACTGGGTGGAAAGTAGCATGAGGCTATGAAAAGATTCGGTTTCAGGTTGATGGTTTTGATGATGATGATGTCAACGGCAGAGTTATAGGGAATACGTCTGAAATTGACACCTTTCTTAACTAATATGCTAACACCACCGCTATGATGGCTATCATCATTTCGGCATTTGGTGGCTGAGGCATAATTCGAAACAGTTTTCATCTTTCAGAAAAACTTCACTTTGGACGGACGGACACTTTGAATATTATATTGTAAAAAGGATATCATGTTGAAACTTGAGAAAGAACCCCAGCGGATTTCCTCGCAGTACTGGATGCTCGAACGGGGCAAGAAGTAGCACAGACAGACATTTTTTCCTCAAATTCTTTAATAAGATTGTGAGGGATCATCGGACGGACACTTTTTTGAATTGCGAAAATTAATCTTTCAAGTTCTGAAGACCGCAAATAGTTGTTTGAATTTTTCGGTCCAAGAAGGCTTGTTCCAGACGACTTGGGGGGTGTATTGGGAGAAGGCTTGGTGGGTGAATTGATAAGAGATTTGGAGGGAACCAATTTCCTTTTGACGACAGCATTGTATTTATTTTTGGTTAAGATTTTG